ACTTTTACCAAAGTCATATTTTGGAGAGGTACTTATACTTTTACTTGATTCCGCGATTTTAGTACTTTATATAACACTGTATAAATGTACACTTTTCTAGATCTGCCACTGGTTGAAGTAAACGGGAAAATTACATTTTTGGACCTAAGAAAGTAATTGTGGCAGAAAAAAAAACCCCATTTCAGAATTTATAATCCCCATTGAAAAATACTGGTGGCAGTATCATGCTGTGGGAATGCTTCTTCCCTTTCTGCTCTGGACAATCTTAACAGAAACCTTTTTAGAAGAAAAAAAAAAAACTTTAAAAACGTGCATTGTCCACATCCATTTATGTCAGTTCAGCTAAAAACAAAAATTGGTCTTTCCACATTTACACAAGACAATGTATATCACCATTTATATGCATTATAATTCTAGATTTAGCCACTCCTCAAATATAAGCTAAGAATCAATCTGCTTATCTGAACGTCGATGTGGGTTTTAACATCTGAATGTGGCCTTTGTTGCAGAAGTTTTCCTCCCACAGGGAAATTAAATGCAAATGAATCCTCCTGACTCCATTTTAAAAGCTGCATCATGTCCTTTCTCATTCAGAAACGTTACCAGGCCTTGTACAGCTACATGGCAGCAGAGGCAGACGAAGTTTCTCTGCAGGAGGGCGACCTAATCTTAGACGTGGAGCCGATAGACGAAGGCTGGATGTTTGGATGCAACCAGCGCACTGGGAAGAAGGGACTACTGCCAGCTAACTATGTCCGACCTGTTTGAGAAAATTCTTATGTGTTTGTTTTTTTTCAGATAATGTTACCTTTTTATTGTAGCTGCTTTGGGTTTCGGATTTCTTAGAGAAGCAGCTCTTTTCCCAAAGGTGGACAAGAAAATTATTTCATGCAATTTTAAATTTATCATGTAAATTTGTCTCTGGTTAACAGCAACTGTAGCTCCACGGTGCATTTAGTTTAATATTTTCCTGGATTTTTTGAAGAATATCAATTAAACTTATACTTGGCTCAGCTGTTCTGTTCCTGTTTTACAAAAACAATGAAAATAGAAAACAAGAAGCTTTATTCAAAATTTTAACACACAACTAAAGGGTAAAATGTCACCTTAACAGATTAAAACAGACTTTTCTTTTTATAAATCATGAAGTTAAAAAGAAACAAAACCAAAGCATCATCTTAAGTAAACACAAACAAATTGAAGACAAGTAGTGTCTCTGTAAAAGCAATCCTTCATGCTGTGGACGTAGCTGTCGGCTTCATGGCTGACAAACAGGCCGTCCTTTTGCAGATTTTGGTCTGTAGCTTTGAAGGCAGCCAGCTGAGCAGTGGTCCAAACAACTCAGAGTTTCCTCCAATAAAGTCCTCACACAACCTGGGACATAAATAGCAATAAATCTCCAAAATATAAAATATGCTCTTTATATTCTATTAAGATATTGACTCAAGCTTTGATATAGAAAGGAAGCTGGTGCACAAAACCGACGAGTCTTTGTCCTGTGGTAGTCATTTCTCTGAATTTTGAACCAACTTTTTGACAAGCATCAATATATCATCAATATTCCAAATTAGGTAACAGCAAAAGTCTTATTCACATATCCTCCTAATGTAAGGGACTTTAGTGTTTCCCCCTGTGACAAATAAGCGATTTAAATGTCTTTAATTCTGTTAACAGCTAAATATATAAAGAATAGTTAAATGAAGAAATGCAGGATCTAAAGTGGTTCGATGACTCCAGTATATCTACTAATTTTAGGTCGTTATAAACCATAGCTTTAAATTCAGACACATTGGTCAATTTTAGCTACCCGCCACCCCCCCAACATTAAATACCTTTGATGCAACCGATATAAACAGCACAGTTACTAGTTGCTATTATTAACCAACTATAAGCTCATAAGCTTCACTCCAACTCTTGAGCTGCATAGGAACTAATAAACAGGCTAAAGGGGAGAGCAGATCGGCTTAATACTATGCAACACAACCTGCAACGAGGAGCGACAAGAAACCAAAGGAATGAGTAGAGGCCAGGCTGGGAATTTATGACAAACGGTGGCATTAGTTTAGACTTTGTGGTACCTGCAGAGAGAATATGGCTGAGTCTGGAAGATGAGAATATCCCTGCACTGATGTTGCCTTGGAGCCCTTAGAACAGCCACCTAAAACGGTTCAAGTAAAAAGCATAAATTAGAAAAAAATTATAAAATCTGGTTAAGCAGCACCCAAAAAATCAACTGACTTTTATATCCAAATTGTGAAGCAGGACATTTCAGAACAGTGTTACTTGTGTTAGAAGAAACCAGAATGTCAAGATTGTAGATGCTTTATGAAATGTGTGAGATCTAGGTAACATCATCGACTGATGTCTGAGACCTTAAACCACTTAAAGGGAATAATGCAAAAGCTTTTATTTCTGGCTCATATTAGTTTGTTTAAACTGGCTTTAAAAAACTACAATTAACTATAAAAAGTTCTGCTACAATCTGTTGATGTAAACCCTGATGTACAAAAGTCTGAATTTTGTGACAGTTGTCGTATAAACAGGAAAAATAAAGATGGATTTACATACCGAGTCCACAAGGATGCAGAGATGACTGCTCCCCCCAAACACCACGACGTCACCATCACCTCCTAGGCAAGCAGTGTGACAAACCCTGGAAACAAACATGCACTATAAGCTCCACACAAGGGCCTCCAGGAAAGAGTTAATAAAATCAAATAAGACTTGAAAGAGAAGAACCATCCTTCTGTGGATCAGCTATTTTATAGCTATTCAGCAAAAATCTCTTTGCAGAGGTGGGCAGAGTCCACAAAAACTGTACTTAAGAGAAATACTAAATATTTTTACTCAATTTACTCAAGACTAAAAACTAGCCATTAAAAAAAGTAACCTGTGTAAAAAAAACTATTTAGTTTTTAGGCTACTCAAGTACCTGATAACTCATAACCTCTGATTTACCAGTTAAAATTATGTAAAGAAGCAGACAAAAATGTAAACTAATGTGTAAATTATGGCATTTTAAATTTATTTCTGATTATAGAGAATATAAAAAGCAGATTTGTATGCAAAATAACCAATCCTGTAACTTTTTTTTTTTTATTTTAACAGTCATTCTCCAATTTTCAGTTTCCAAGACTCTGCAAATTAATATGTAGATCCAAAACTCCACTTGCCTGCTTGAACCAACCCCAACAGCCCTGGTCAAATCAGATGTCTTCAGCCTCTACTCTCATCCTTAACTCCCATTATTCACTCCTCTCTTACCTCCGTTTTTTTTCCTTTCCTTTTTAACAGTGCAGTAATCACTCCTGCACTGAGGAAACCTGAATCAGATCCTAATGACTACAATAACCTCTGGCCCATTTCTAACTGGCCTTTTATCTAAAAATACTTGAAAAACTGTTTCCTCCCAACTTCACTCCCATCTAACTCATGATAATCTTTATGAACAATTCCAGTCTGTTTTCCGCCTCCCCCACTGTACTTAAACAGCACTTTTAAAAATCACCGATCATCTTCAATACCACAGAGGGCAACCATTTCATTTATTAACATTTCTTTGTTTTTTTAATGGTTACAACCTTAATTCCCACAGAACAATGCTACCACTGCTCGTTTCACAATGGGGGTTGAGTGCTTATGATAATGTCCCATCTTTGATCCTTTGCATTTTTTATACCACCTTCCTTTTAACCTGACTCCGCCAGATGGATTTGCTCCGCATATCCATCTGGAAACCTTCCGTTGAAGTAATTTTAGGAAGGGGCGAAAATACTGGTTAGCTGATTGGCCTATGTTGGTGATAGACGGGCCAAATAAACCAATCAGATCAAAGTAGCATATGACTTACTAACAGAGCGACCACGAAGAGGAGCCCATTGATAGATCAAACTCTTGCCGAAACCAGTCGGGAGAAG